TTTATTTTCCTTAACAACTGGACTTAGCAACCCAATGCATGTGATGAGGTCTATATCAGCAAGTAATTTTGCAACTTCCAATCTCGAGGAAATATATATATATATATATATATATATATATATATTCTTTTTGACAGAACATTAATTTAATTATGATCAATTTTATTCTATATTGAATTTTTTTGGTACTTATTCTGAACTTCAAGCAAACGTTAGCTTTACAACTTTTAGTCGACATTATTTAATGCCAGTTTTAATGAAAGTTAATAAAGGAGTGCACATGTTATCTTTTGGAAGACAAAATTGTGTTTTCATATTATAAGATTCGAGAATACATTGGTATAAGAGTTTTGTACGAGTTAATCTTGTCGTTTTTAAAAAGTCAATTAACGATTTAATTTCATTAGTTGACTTCACAGAAATGGACGATCACCCACCCAAGTGACCACCCTTTAACATATTTATGTCCATCTTTTGCCCACAAAATAAGATACTATATGCGGACCAAAATAGATATAGTTCAATACGTGCATATATACTGGTACTTGTAATAAAAAAATTCAAACAACATATCACCATTCACTCATGTACAAGTCACATTATCATGAAAATGATTTAATTTCTTCCGGTGGTATGAATTTTGTTGTTGTTTGGAAATTGAGTATGTTGTAGTCTTTCATTTTATTACCTATTATTTAGTGAATTTCTTCATATCATTGCCAATGGACGTAAAAGAGGACTGAATGATATTAGAATAAGGTTTCTTGTACATTATTTGCTTGACATGGAGTTTGACACTCCATTGTTTTCAAATGTTTTCAAAAATAGAATTGACGGGAAAGTGTGTTTTTTTTTTTTTCAAAAACTGTCCAATATGATGTCGCCACGTAGCACAATGTAAAATTTAATGTCAAACTCAATGTACTTGTAGCATGATTCATGATATCAACTTTGTGTGTGTTCTCTCTTTAATTAATGTTTTTGCGTAAAATCCAAACCTTAAGGCTTTCGCACATTACAAAACAAGTGAAAAATATTTCGAGTTTCGTAATAAAATCCTATCCATCTATTGAAGAATAGTAGATGCAGGCCCTGCAGTTTTGCTGGAAAAATCCAACCATTGTGTTAATTAAAGATAAACAGATTCTTCAAAAATATAATTTCACAAAAAGAAAAATGAAAGGCTGTAAACGAAGGATGTAATAGGAAAATGTAACACCTTGAACTTTTTTACTATTTTTCATATGGACCTAAACTTAATATGGGTCACTTAGCAAATGAAATAATTCATGTTTAGATTTGTCGTCACACTAAAAGCCCAAAAATTGATAATTTATTTTGCTCACGTGTACTTAGAATTTATCGTAAATCTTATTTAGGTTGAATATTTACATATTTTAGAAGTTGATAAAATATATCAATATTATACTCGTTTTATCGCTCGTGTTAAATAATATAATTGGAAATCAAGAAAAAGTAATTTTGAGCTAGTAGCCCGAGTTATTCTAATAAAAAAAATGTTATCTTTTAATATTTTATTAATATATAATATAAAATGAGTTTTTCTAGAACGGTCATGGTTATATTGGATGGAAACAAATAGGTTTATTATAATTAAATTTATTAAACCTAATTATTCTCATTAATCTTGATAATGAATAAATTTTATTAACACCATTAATTCACCCTTAACCTAACATGCGTTTTGTTGATTTATGTTACGTGCATAACTAATTATAAGTGACTGTTATGGGTTTATATATTTAGGTGAATTACTTTTAAGATAATTTCACAACTTCATTCCTTTACTGATTCATACACGTAAACTCTACATTGTTGAAATGATTTTCTTCTACCACAGTTTATATTGTACATACTTCCCACCACTAATATTTTTAGAATTTGAGCTAAGTATCATATTTATATTTTTCACAAATTATTTTCAAATAAATTCTTGGATATCAAATTGAGGTAAGAATACATCATGCAAGTGGTAAATTCTTATTCCTTGATGTTTGTATAATTTTTGACATAAAATGTTATGAGGCCTTCAGGTCGAACTTTATGTTAAATCCTTCAGGATGGACCGTTAGGTCAAAGATATTAAATCCTACGGAATAAACCGTTTGGTCAAATATATTAAATCCTACGAGATGTGGGTATTCTTAAGAAATTCCTTGAGTTCTAAATATAAGAAATATTGGTATGTTAAGTTAGTTTTATATTTATATCATGTGAATAAGAATGTGTACGTATTTTTACTAAGTATTTTCAAAATATTCACTCTTACAATACCTTTCGATGAAAACGGGTAGTTTGGACGCGTGGAAAATTTACCGAGTGATACTTATGGGGTCGCCAAGTAAATTTTCTAGAAAATATAATTGTCAAACTTTTATTTGAAAAATATCTTCATATTGAATTTTGTGCACATTTTTTAATAGCTATTTTTATGCATTTCAACACTTAACAAAAATGATATTTTCGCATAAATTAGACAAAGAAGATGTTGGTAACACCTCGAGCCTATTTTTATAAAAGAATAAAATAATGAAGATGAAAAAGATCTCGAGGCATTATAGAAAAAGTATAAAGCAAAGAGAAAACCAAAGTTTTTTTTTTTAATAATAAAAATCGACAATAGAAAGCGAAGTGACATTAAATCACAAATATAATTAAATGAGTCTCATTTTTCACCTTTAATTTATCATATAATATTAGCACCTGTGGTGCTATAGCATTATTCATTTCAGTTTCCTATCCAAATAATTTTAATGATCTCGACTAATTTCTTTAACTCGTGTTTGTCAAATTGTGAACGGTTTCTTACTTTCCTACACCTTTGAGCTTTAAATTGTCATGTTGCTTATGGGGTATGCCATAGCTCGAATTGAATCTCCTTTTCTAATATCGACATATTGGGGAATTTATAGATGTCAGCGAACAATTCAATTAACCAACACAAAATTTTACCACTAAAGACATCACCAAACCATAGGAAATTAGTCGCTAAAATATGCAATTTGAACAGTTCAATCAAATATATAGAACAAACTAAGTTTTATTATCACTAAATATAGAGGATCAGAAGCATTGTTTTAACAACAAACAAGTGAGAAAGAGATTGAAGAAAAATAGAAAGCCCCATCGTGTTTAAATAGCTGCTTTTCCTGGATGAGCCTCAGACTGAGCCTGAGCCTGAGCGGGAGCCCGAATGCCTGAGGTGAGTTTAATAGCCTTCTTTTGGACCTTTTTACCGGAGTTGTTGATTTCCACAGTAGCTGAGACTGCCAGATTTCTCTTCTTGGACATGAAAAACCACTCTTTAAACTTAACCTTTGTAGCCAAATCCAACCTGAAAACTACTGTGGATCCATTAGAAACCGCGTTCACTGCGTCAAACCAAGGAACACCGTGAGTCTCGACCACATCTCTCCGCTGAGCACCTTTTTTTTTACCCTGATAAAACCCTCGAACTGTATAGTAGCCTATTGGAAGGCTTGGCTTTGGACCATAAAAGAATGTGAGATTTATAGTGTCATAGCGGACACTAATTTGATCCAAACGATTTTTGAGTTCGAGGTCGAAGAAGATAAAGTTGTTGATGGTACTGGCATTGGAATTATCCAATCTGTTGAGAGCAGGAACATAAAAGTTCTTTATTGAGCAACTGGGCCTCACTGTATTGGTGTTTACTACGATCAAAATGATCAAAAGGGTAATAATGAAGACGACTATCAGGCAGCACAATTTGTATAAGATAAAGATAGGGTGTGCCATAGCCCTCATTCTATCTAGCTGAGACATTATGAAATTGTGGCGTTTTGAAGAAAAAGGAGGACTGAATCTATGAATATAAATCAACAAGACGAGACTGTAAATTATATATAGAGTTAAATTCGTAGACTACATAGTCATTAACAATGAATTCTGCTTGGTACCTAAGATAGAAGAAAATCAACCTTAAAGAAAGACTTCCAAGTCATCAACAACCACACGGAACGATTAATGTTTGATTAGACAAACCGGGAAAATTATTATTTTTATACCATTTTCATGTGGGGATACCACTATTTTCTAAAGGTATGTTATTATACACAACATTTAAGAATTTAGAACAGTTATAATATTCCACTGTACATAGTTGTGTTTAAATTTCATACACCACATTATTTTAGATTTCACCATCTTTGGGCAAGATGATGAATACACATTCTATTTAGTCACTGTTTGGTTTTGATAAAATCAGATTTTTAGTAAATTTTGATAAAAATGATAAAATGTGTAATTGAAAAATTGATAAAAGATGTTGATCCCATGAAATGTGGAATGGAAAATAAATTTTGGAGGAAATGAGGTCCAAATAAGGGCTTGAAAAAAATGAATGACTTATGCTTGAATTGTTCAAATTGAGATACTTTACGAAATATAAAATCGGAAAACCACACGTTTCCTAGTCTCTATAGTAGTGTTCATGGTTAGAGAAACTTGTGTGAAGTTAATCACGTCTTATCTTGAGACCCTATTGAGGCGTTCAACATTATAAAACTCTTCCATTATACTCCATTTTTTGATTTGCTATTATAATTATTGTTATCGTTTCATTAACTAGAAAATACTTTCCAAGCAAAAAAACCCTAGATAGGGTCACTTCACCAGGGAAAACATCAAGCTGAGAATGTGAATTAAAGTATGAGTCAAGTATTAGCTAGCTGTAACGCTTCTTTCAACTAATCTAAAACAGAAGAATCTTTTAAAGTAGTTTCACCACTTTAATTTACATGTAAGTCTTCACCTAATTTACACGAAAGGCTTCGATATCAAGATTCAACGAGCTTGACTCATGAAAGTCTTTTTTTATGTTTTATGACTTGTTTTTCCATTGATGTACCTAAACAAGTAAACCATTCATCTTGTCTATATATATCGAGTGCTTTATGGGAAGAAGGAAAATTAAGATAAAAAAAATTCATCTGGTCATATACATTTAAGTGACTGCAATGGACGAAAGCGGAAAAATTGCGTGTCTAATCTGTTGCATTTGCTTCATTTTGCCAACCATTCTGATCCCCATCGGTTTATGTCTTCAAAGCATCAAGCCAAGATGTTACATAAATGACTTTTATGCTCCTGCCCTCAACACACACATTCCTTCCAATGCTACCAGTTCCAACACTTTCATTTTCTTCGACCTTCAGCTTCGTAATATGATGGAAGAGAACAGCTTACGTTATGGAGATCTGAACCTCACCCTCTTCTACGGCCTGGATGGAAATATTCCTGTTGCTAATTATACAGTGCCTGGTTTCAAACAGGGTAAGAAGAATACAAATGATTGGAGAGACGTTGTGGAGACTCATGGACTGCCTTGGGATGATGCTATCAAAGTAGTTTCCAATGGTTCCAAAGTGGTTTTCAGGGCGGATTTGGTCGCAGATGTCAAGTTGAAACAAATGTTTTGGTCGAAGAAAAAGAAGATCGTTTTGAAAGCTACCGTCGAAGTCGATGGTTCTGGTGAGAAAGTCCATGGGAAACCCATCAGACTCAAGTCATTTGCATATTAGCTGTTATGAATTTAAGGCATTTAGTATGTGCCCATTAATAAATGAGTTACAAACGTTTGATGATATTTAATGATATTCCAGAAATTATTTAAATATCTTTCTCATGCATGAATAAATGCTTTACAATTGTTATTGGTCACAATTTATCTATTCTATTGACAAAATATTATTTATTAGTTACAATCAACCAAAATCCCACCCCCACGTCATCCCCACTTCACCACAGACACCAACCGAATACTGCCACACCTTACCGCCTCCTCCATTTGTGAACACCACTGCAATCACCAATATCACCACCGTCAGCATCACCACCTCACCATCACCATTACCATTACCATCACCACGAGCACCATTATCGTCAGCACCACCACCATCATTTGCAAAACACCACCAACAATCAAGAGAAATCACCCCAAAAGAAAACCACCTATAGTAGATCGGATTCAAAAATCACCAACAAAATTCAACAACCACCAACAAATCATCCACACCACTGCACATATATTGGAATTAATAGGGACACAGATCGGTACTTTGCAATGGACAAAAGATTGAGACTCCCTCCTACACCCCAAAATGGTTCCTCGAAGCGAGGTGCAAGCAGAGGTGCCTCTGTGCGTGGCACCTCGCTGGTGTCTCAAAGCAAGGTGTCGATTTCTGAAATAGAGAGGATGAGGCGGGTGGATAGAGAGAGACAGTGATAAAGAAAGATAAAGGAAGGAAGAGAAAGAGAAGAGATTGTGATATGATTTAGGGTTTTGAGGGTGAAATTGGGTGGGAGTGGCGTGGTTACTTAAATTTTTTAAATTTCAGTCTACATTTTTGAAAGTGTCCCAATCGTGGGAACGTAGATTAATTTAATATTATAACACTATTATTAATATTTAAAATTTGAACTATCACATGATTTAACATACGTGGGGTAAATTAATCTACATACCCACCCCATCCCATCTCATCCCATTCCATTCCATGTGCCCATCAAATTTCATTCATAAACCCTAAATTATATATATATATATATATATAAAGGGGCTTCTACCAACGTCTTGCGTCCAGATACCAACGAGTCATCATGTGCAAAGATGCCTCTGTCTGCTCATTGCTTCGAGTAACTAACGAGGTACCGTATCTCTACCAGCTGGAGAGTAATGGTGGATTCAGGATATTGAGTTAGCTAGGATGTCTATTGACTCTTGACGGTCGCAATAGTAAGATTTTTTATTAATATTTAATTAAATAATATTAAAAGAATTTCAATAATGTATAAATACAATAAAACGTAAAAGTCATACACATTTAAAAATATAATCCAATACAAACTAAAACAATGAGAAAAAAAAATACATTTTCCAATAACATATGCACGATCAAGTTTCAAATTTTGTTATGTCCTTAAGCGAGAGAAGATGAAGTTTATACGTAAAGCATGATTTAACGATTAAAGTAATCTCTAAGCTAGGCGAAGGTTATGGAAAATTTTGAAAATAATGATTTTTAAAATTAGAATAATTTTTAATCTCGAAAGAAAAAGTATTTTTCAAACTCTTAAAATAACAAAAACCAACATCTAAATTGTCCAAATTTGAATTTTATAAATTAAATCTGTAAAACCTAACCATAAAAGTATATATATTATTGAGTAATAATTTGAGTCAATAAATTTTTTAAAGAAATTATTTCGAAAATGAAAACTAATAATATATAATTGCTTAGTCATTATTTATTGTATTAAAAATTTAAACAAAAAATGGGAGTATATTTATTGTATTAGAAATTATTTTAAAGGTTATGCAAAATTTTTAAAATAATGATTTTTAGAATTAGAATAATTTTTAATCTCAAAAGAAAAATTGTTTTTCTGAACTCTTAAAATAATTAAAAAAAACACACTTAGAGGCTGTTTGGGAGTGATTTTGAGAATTGATTTTTTGATCGTTAGAAGAAAAGTGGGGTCCACCCGTGAGAGAAGAAGTCAAATATGATGGCCGAAATAGTGAAATAACGGTCAAAAAATCAATTTTTTGGATAAAAAATCAGGCCTAAACAGGCCCTTAAATTGTCCAATTTTGAATTTTATAAAATAAATTGGTAAAACCTAACAATAAAAGTGTATATTTTATGGAGTAATAATTCGAGTCAATAATTTTTTTAAAGAAATTATTTCGAAGATGAAAACTAATAATATATAATTGTTTAGTCATTATTTATGGTATTAAAAATTTAAACATAAAAATGGGAGTATATTTATTGTATTAGAAATTATTTTGAAGGTTATGCAAAATTTTGAAAATAATGATTTTTATAATTAGACTAATTTTTAATCTAAAAAAAAAAGTGTTTTTCCGAACTATTAAAATAATAAAAAGCAACACTTAAATTGTCCAAATTTAAATTTTATAAAATAAATTGGTAAAACCTAACAATAAAAGTATATATATTATGGAGTAATAATTTGAGTCAATAAATCTTTTAAAGAAATTATTTCGAAAATGAAAACTAATAATATATAATTGTTTAATCATTATTTATTGTATTAAAAGTTTAAACAAAAAAGTGGGAGTACATGGAATTAAACCCCATGACTCTCACGTATAAAGTGATCCATCAACCATAGAAGTTACATTCGCTTTTGTTGAATGTTAAGACAACTGTTAGTTAATATTTAGTTATTATTTACTGTGTTGAAAAATTAAAAGGAGGAATGCTATTGAAGGAAATGGAACCTGTGTATCATTGCATGGAAAAGCGAACGCTCTTCCATACGAGCTACATGTCATTCCGTTCAAAGTTAATGTAGTAACGTATATGTATGTGTGTGTGTGTCTATATATATATTACAATAATTTTCGTTAATCATTTTTCTGGACAGATCCAGCCCGGGTGGTCGCACCAGCTCGCCAGGTGCTGATCCACCCCCATTGGGGAGTTGGAGAGAGTGTCATTCTACAGTTGCACAATGTCGATCTACTATCCCTTGTAAAGTGTTGAACTGATGTACCTGCTAGTGTGATCTGCGTGCAGCGATGTGGGTGATTTGTTGGAGTTTGTTGATGGTTTGCTTAATAGTTTTCTGATTCATTCTACTGCTTAGTCGAAGGATGGTTGGTATTTTTTGCAATGGTGGTGATGGTGTTCGCTATAATGATGTTTACTGTGATGATGGTGGTGAGGTTATGGTGTGGACGACGATGGTGAAGGTGCTGATGGTTATTGCAATGGTGGTCACAAAATGGGGGTAACAGTAGTGGCAATGGCAACAAGTGGTGAGGTGAGACAACATTCAGTTGGCATCTGTTAAAGAATAGGTTAATTTCACAAACGATCACTGAACTTACAGAAAAATTATAAAACGGTCACTGAAGTTTAAAACTTTCAATAACGGTCACTTAAGTATTGGGATACTTTCAAAAATGGCCACTAAAGTTTAAAAAGTTTTTGAAACGGTCGCTGAAGTTGAAAAATACTTTTTTAGTTTTTTTTGTTACATTTGCGACAAGTTTTCGGCTACTTTCAACCACCGATACCATCGAATTTTGATATCGTTGGAAAGCCCACAATGTCCTCTTCAATTACCATTCAAAATCTCTCCGTAATACCAAGGAATTCGACCGAAAAATCACCGCAAAAGTCGCTCCAAAAAAATCTGAAAATATGCCCAAATTTTCAGATTTTTGGGCTACATTTACGGCAATTTTCCAGCAAATTTCGACCACCAAGACCACCGAATTTTGATACTGTTGGAAATTCCACAATGTCCTCTTCAATTACCATCCAAAATCTCCTCCAAACTCCAAAGGATTCAGCCGTAATAAACCCGCAAAATCGGCATCCCAAAAAGGTGAAAATCTGGGATGTCAACTTTGTGAGTTTATTCCGGCCGAATCCTTTGGAGTTTTGGGGAGATTTTAGATGCTAATTATAGAGGACATTGTAAGCTTTCCAACGGTATCAAAATTTGGCTATTTTGATGGTCGGAAGTTGTCAAAAAATCGCCACAAAAATCCACCAAAAATCTGAAAATTTGGACAGATTTTTGCCTTTTCGGGTAGCCAACTTTGTGGGTTTATTCCGGCCGAAATCTTTTGAATTTGGGGGAGATTTTTTTTAATTGAAGAGGACATTGTAGGCTTTCCAACAGTATCAAAATCCGATGGTATCGATGGTCGGAAGTGGTCGAAAAATTGCAGCAAAAGTAGCTCAAAATTTTTTATATTTCAGTCTACATTTTTGAAAGTGTCCCAATACTTAAGTGACCGTTACTGAATGTTTTAAACTTCAGTGACTGTTTTGTAATTTTTCTGTAAGTTCAATGATCGTTTGTGAAATTAACCCGTTAAAGAATGGGAATGGGGTGCACTGGTATGGTGTGGTATGGGTTAGGGTAAAATTTTTTTAGTTGTGATTAATA